TCACATGGACTGCGGAAGCAAGCAGGGGTTTCCATCTTCATATCAAATAAAGTAGACTTCAAGCTAAAGTTAATCAAAAGGGAGAAAGAAGGATATTTCATACTGCTCAAGGGAACCATACACCGACAAGACTTAATAATTATAAAAATATATTCCCCAAACAATGGAGCATCTACATTCATCAAACTCTTCTCAAGTTCAATAATCAAACAGACCATAACACAATAATTTTGAGTGACTTTAACATACCACGTCCACCACTAGATAGATCTTCCAAACAAAAGAAACTATAGAACTCAATAATACAATCAATAACTTAGACCTGACATATATAGAGAGAATATTTCATCCTTCAACAAGCGAATACACTTTCTTCTCAGCAGCACATGGTTCCTTCTCTATACTAGATCATGTATTATGCCACAAAGAAACTCTTAGCAAATACAAAAAAGTAGAGATACTATCCTGCATTCTATCAGATCATAATGAAAAAAAATTACAAATCAATGATAAAATAAAAATAAAAGCTAGCTACTGAATGAACAAAGGGTTGCAAAAGACATCAAGGAGGAGATTCAAAAATTCTTAGAGGTAAATGAGAACACTGACACAACATATCAAAATCTCTGGGACACCATAAAGGCAGTACTAAGAGGAAAGTTCATTGCATGGAGTTCATTCCTTAAAAAAAAAAAAAAAAAAGTCAACAAATATATGACCTAACATTACATTTCAAAGCCCTAGAAAAAGAAGAACAAATCAACACCAAAAGCAGAAGACAGAAAATAATTAAAATCTGAGCTGAAATCCATGAAAGTGAAACAAAAGAAACAACTGAAGAAATTGACAAAAAGTTGCTTCTTTGAAAAAAATATATAAAATTGACAGACCCTTAGCCATGCTAATGAAGAGAAGGAGAGAGAAAACTCAAATCACTAACATACATGATGAAAAAGGTACTATCACAACAGACACTACAAAAATACAGAAGATAATTAGAAATTATTTTGAAAACTTATATTCCAATAAAATAGAAAATACTGAAGGCATCGACAAATTTCTAGAGTCATATGATTTGCACAAATTGAATCAGAATGATATACACAATTTAAATTTATCAATTTTAAATGATGAAATAGAAGATGCCATCAGAAGCCTACCGACCAAGAAAAGTCCAGGACCAGATGGATACACATCCGAGTTCTACAAGACTTTTGAAGAAGAACTAATACCAATACTCTCGAATTTATTTCAGGAAATAGAAAAAGAGGCAGCACTTCCAAACTCATCCTATGAGGCCAATGTCACCCTGATTCCAAAACCAGGCAAAGACACATCAAAGAAAGAAAACTTCAAACCAATTTCACTAATGAACATACATGCAAAAATTCTCAATAAGTTCTGACGAATCAAATAAAAACATATCAAAAAGATAATGCACCATGATCACAAGGGGTTCACTCCAGGGATACAAGTTTGGTTCAACATACGGAAATGAATAAATGTAACTCATCACATCAAGAGACTTAAAGATAAGAATCATATGATTTTATCTAATGATAATCAATGCAGAAAAAAAGCATTTGTCAAATACAGCACCCCTTCATGTTCAGAACACTAGAAAAACCAGGGAAAAACAGGCACATATCTTGACATTTTGTAAAAGCTATCTACGCAAAGCCCCAGGCCAACATCATTCTAAATTGAGAAAAATTGAAAGTATTCCCTCTAAAAACTAGAACAAGACAGGTATGCCCTCTTTCACCATTTCTATTTAACACAATTCTTAAAACACTGGCAACAGCAATTAGACAGATGAAAGAAATTAAATGGATATGGATAGGAAAAGAAGAATTCAAATCAGCACTATGCTAATGATATGACTGTATACATAGAAGACCCAAAAAATTCCACCAGAAAACTTCTAGAACTAGTAAATGAATTCAGCAAAGTAACAGGATACAAAATCAATACCCATTAAACAAAGGCATTTCTGTATATCTGATATACAAATCCTCTGAAAGGAAAATTACCCATTTATAATAGCCTCAAAACAAATAAAATACTTGGAAATCAACCTAACAAAAGAAGTGAAAGACCTCTACAATGGAAACTATAGAACACTAAAGAAATTAAAGAAGACCTTAGAAGATGAAAAGATCTGCCTTGTTCTTGGAGAGGCAGAATTAATATTGTCAAAATGACCATAGTACCAAAAGCACTATACAGATTTAAGGCAATTCCAATCAAAATCCCAATGACATTCCTTTTAGAAATAGAAAGAACAGTCATGAAATTCATCTGGAAAAATAAAGAGACCCAGAATAACTAAAGCTATCCTTAGCAAGAAGAGTGAAACAGGTGGCATCACTTTACCAGACCTTAAACAATACTACAGAGCAATAGTAACAAAAATAGCATGGTATTGGCACCAAAATAGATTTGTAGACCAATGGTACAAAATAGAGAACAGAGACTAACCTACATAATTACAGTTATCTTATATGGACAAAGGTGCCAAAAACATACATTGGAGAAAAGATAGCCTCTTCAACAATGGTGCTAGGAAAACTAGAAATCCATATGCAACAAAATGAAATTAAAACCCTATCTCCCACCATGCACAAAACTCAACTCAAAGTGGATCAAGGACCTAGGAATTAAACCAGATAAACTGTGCCCAAATCTCCATCATGTCAGATTAGGCCCCACTTTCCTTAATAAGACTCTTATAGTACAAGAAGTAAAATCAAGAATAAATAGGATGGATTCAAACTAAAAAGCTTCTTCTCAGCAAAAAAAGAATAGAGAGACTATATCTTGGGAGCAAATTTTTACCCCTCACACATCAAAGACCACTGATCCCTAGGGTATATAAAGAACTCAAAAAGCTAAACACCAAAAAAAAGAAATAACCCAATCAATCAATGGGCCAAGGAACTGAAAAGACACTTCTCAGAGATGATATATAATCAATCAATAAATATATGAAAAAAATGTTCATCATCTCTAGCAATTAGAGAAATGCAAATCAAAACTACTCTAAGACTTTATCTCACTCCAGTCAGAATGGCAGCTATTATGCATACAAACAACAATAAGTGTTGGCGAGGATGTGGGGAAAAAGGCACACTCATACAGTGCTGGTGGGACTGCAAATTGGTGCTACCAATATGGAAAGCAGTATGGAGATTCCTTGGAAAACTGGGAATGGAACCACAATTTGACCTAGCTATCCCACTCCTCGGTCTATTCCCAAAGGATTTAAAAACAGCATACTACAGGGACACAGCCACATCCATGTTTATAGCAACACAACAAAACAGCTAAACTGTAGAATCAACCTAGATGCCCTTCAGTAGATGAATGGATAAAGAAAATGTGGTATATATACACAATGAAATATTATTCAGCATGAATAGAGAATAAAATCATGGCATTTGCAGGTAAATGGATGGAGTTGGAGAATATTATGCTAAGTGATGTAAGCCAATACCAAAAAGTGCCAAATGTTTTCTCCAATATAAGGATACTGATTCATAATGGGGTTGGAGGAGGGCATGGGTTTATAAGGATAAAGGATATTATTTATGCCTTAAGATAGATGAACTCTAGATAGGGAAAAGGGAAGGGATGGGAAAGTAGAAGGCATGGGGGTAGGAAAGGCGATAGAAGAAGATGGACATCATTACCCTAAGTACATGTATGAAGACACAAATGGTGTGACTCTACTTTGTGTAAAACTAGAGATATAAAAAAATTGTGCTCATATATAACAAATTAGAATAATTTAAAAAAAGAAAATCTATGTAATTAGAGTATACTATTTGGCTCAACGGTAAACATTTATACTACTTGGTCAATCTTCACAGTCCCATCACTATATCATTCACACACACACTATACACATACACACACACCCACACACACACCCACACACACAGTCTAAATTTAATAAATCAAGTAATAGAAATGTATCTTATTTAGCAATATGATAATTCTTTAGGGAGTAGGGTATATGGCTAAGTGAGAAGTGTTTTGTTTATTTAACTTTGGGTACTATAGTACTATTTAGCTTTAAAGTTATGTACTGTTTATTATATTGATAAAATAAATATTTTAAAAAGAAAATGCCTACGAATGACTATATAGAGGATATGAAAAAAGTTTGACAAAGAAAATAGATTTACATGTGGTACTACCAGAGATTATGCTAAATCTCCACTAATGTTTGTCAACAGGTAAAACATTTTATTTCTGGAGTTCACTTTTCATTTAAAAACAATCAATGCAAGAATAGTGAAGTATACATATGCTTTATTTTAAAGATGCTGAGCTGTTCAAGGAATAACAGAGGAGTAAAAGATAAGCAAAGGACTAGATTAGGTAGATGACTTTATTTTTTAAAAAAAGGAGAGGCTACAGTATGTTTAAGCTAAGAAAAAAAATCCACTAGGGAAAGAAGCAAAGAGTCAGCATGTAAAAAGTAGCTGGAGATGCTGACTAGGAAGTGAAAATAAAGAGATGCAGGATACCTCATATACCACTGAAAAAGGGCTTATAGTAATAATGGACCATGTGGTCTAATTTGAATAGGAAAAGATGTGAAGTAAGAAAGCAAATAAACAGTCTATGGCAAATATAAATATATCAAGATACTAAGTATCTTCAAAAGTGTAAAAATTGATACAAGGAGAATACAAAAGCAAGGACTAGAAAGGTAAGAAAATACACTTGATAAAATTAATGGCTATCACTAAAAACTGACCTTTATCCTTATAAACCAGACATAGTATTTATGCCTTAAGATAAATTCTGCAAGGTAAAAAATTTTGTATACATGACAAAATACAAACCACATTAAAATTCTCCATGTAATAAGATTCTCTCATATTTGTTAAATAATCTCAGTGCCTCCAGAGACAAACATTCTATTATGAGAAATATTTGTTTTTTTACACTTTCTTATTAGCACTTTTAGGTTTGTTTGGTTTTTTTACCTTGATCAACTACTTTTTGCTTTGTTTCTTCTATTCTTTTTAATTCCTGTTGCTTTGCTTCTAGGAGTTGTTTTTCTTCCTTTAAAGGATCATATTTTATTCCTATAGAAGCATTAAAAGGAAGAATCTAAATACTTTAAATTTAAATATACTCATTCTAATATTTACCTTTGAAAAAAATCACTAATTCATCGTCTACAAAAATTTAGAATAAAAGCCAATTTTATTTGAAGTAATATACCAAATTTATATATTAAAATATCTCCAAAATACCACCCAAAATATTTTATACAAATATAATTATAAAACATAAAGGTTTTCCCATCTATAAAAAAGAGTAAATTATAAACTTTAATATTTGACTTACTGGAAGAAGGCACTATGAGTAAATAAATATCTTCTAATACAGCTTCAAATGGTTGAGTATAAAGGTTTTTCCATGGAATTCTAAGTTTAAGATTACCTACAGTCAAAAAAAAAAAAGTATGAAAATATTCATCCAACCTACATTTACCATCCATCTATTTTATTCTGCCTTAGAAGAGATCTTTGAAAGATCAATAAGACTAACTATATCCAATAATGGCAAGGGGACAATATGTTCATTGTACCACACATTTGGAAATGTTTTCTCATTCAACAAATTGTATTCCTATTATATATACTAGGGAAGATGCTAAGTGGTGAGGATACAATAAAAACTAAACTGACTTCTTCTCCAGAAACTTGGTGTCAGGTTGGGATTGTAGCTCAGTGGTAGAGTGCTTGCTTAGCACATGTGAGGCATTGGGTTCGATCCTCAGCACCACATAAAAATAAATAAAATAAAGGTATTGTGTCTATCTACAACTAAAAATATTGAATTTTAAAAAAGAAAGTGACTAGTAGAAGGAAAAAATAAACAATAATAATATTAAAGAACGATAGTTGTGCTCTATATGTGTAATAAGAATTGTAATGCATTCCACTGTTGTTGTGTATTTTAAAAATAAATAAATAAATAAAATTTTAAAAAAAGAACGATAGGTACTAGGAGAAAGGTATGCAAACAAATACCTTAAATGATTCTCCAAATTATCTTGTTTAGTCCAGAGTTCTTTCCATTACCTTGTATTACCACTAAACATTACCTTATCATTTTTAAACAATAGCAAGCAAGAAAAAAGAGGAATGCATGATCTAAAGGAAATAGGTCCACGAAAGGAACTAGATATCTATATACACACATATGTATATACATGCATATACATATACATATATATGAATTTATATATCTATACTCACACATATACATACACACACACACATTTGGGTGGGAAAGAGGTGGTGCCTGAGAATCAAACCCAACACCTTATGCCTACAAAGCACATATTATATCACTGAGCTTTACCCACCACTCCCTCCTGATACATGAGGTTAAATTAATATACAATAAAATATGACAATAATTATTTTAAGAATTCAATGACTTATTGAAATTTTTAAAAGCTATCTTAAATATATTACCTGTTGTACAATGGACTAATGGGGATTATTCACCATACCCAAATATGCATTTACAGGATTATTATGATACCATAAGAAATAAATGAGTTCAAGTCAACTTGGATTATAAGAAATCCTTATTACACATAAATACAACATGGTTATAAGTATTTAAAATATATACATGTACACAATCAAAAACTCCAAAAAGAAAAATGTAAGGGGGCAAAATAATGGGTGACGTTCCCCCCCACCCTTTTACTTATGCTAAACTGCCTTTAAATGAGTGGAGGAATGGGACAAAATTCAAGTCTTGGCAATATAAGGTGATGAAAACTTTCTGTGGTATATGGTCCAATACCAACTATAATACACAAAACTGTGAAAACCTTCATAATATAATTTATGTAAACTTTCAAAATACCAGTTCCTCAATGGGACCAATACATATTCAATAACATTATAGAATCCCACTTCAAAAACAATATAGCAAAAATTTCAAAGTCCCAACTAAAGACACTTATCATCTTCCACAATATTTAAAATAAAACCATAATATAATCTAAGAATTATGACAAGTTTTTATTAAACATGTTGAAACTTTACACTCAGTTTCTACTCAATCAATATATTTAAAGTATGCACTATAAATACAGGTAAATTAATACAAAAACAAGGGGCTGGGGTACTAACTTAGAGGTTGAGCACTTGCCTAGGACATACCAGACCCTATCTTTGATCCCAGAACCACAAAAAAATAACATAAGATAAAAAATTAAAAATAAAATTTAAAATATAAAAAATGTAAAACAAGAAATTATACAGTATTTTCCGGAAATTCTGGAAACCTAGGGAAAAAAATCCAGAGCAGAAACAAGTTTTCAGATTGGTTCCTGGTGACAGTACATGGATGATCCAAACCCTCATCCTCACATCATACATCCAGTACTAATCAGAATACAGCAACAGTGATTACTCAGAAACCTAGAAAACAAAGACACTTAAGGTACCTGGTGGCCCCCAACTCAATTTTAAAACCTACTAGAATGTGTCATTTCTAAATTATGAAGGTATCAAGTACTGGGCAAGAGTACATAAATCTCACAATATTTTTAAGCCATACAACTAAACCCTACCTAAACAAGAATACATGATAACTTTATTTTCAGCAGTGCTCAGAAATATTTAAAATATATCATTACAGGGCAAGAAGGGCATTCCACTAATACAGCTTACCAATATGACCAACTTTAACTTTAAAGGGCACATCCAGTTGACTCTACCAAGAAAAAAAAAATATGTAAAGCATTAATAAATATAAAGTTCAAAACAAAAACTACTTTTTTCTCCCAATAATTGCTTAAAGGGTATCTGAATTACCTGCACATTATCTTCAATACTTACTTAAATTTACAAATATATAATTAAAATATTATTCAAGTCAATAAAATTAATGGAGGCTTCTCTTTTCATAATAAGTAGTATAAGGGTCCACATTCCTGCTGCCCAAAAAAGCTACCCATACCAGATAATTAACACTTTTGTATTATTTTTTTTTAAGTGAGAAAGCTCACTGTCTGTTTGTGCTTCTAGAAACATTTTGCAAAAAAAAAAAAAAAAGTTTCAAAACATTTCTCCCCATTCAATGTCAGAAAGAACAGCCTTTATAATAAATGGTGTTAGGAAAATTGTATACCTAGTTGCAAAAATATGTCTTATGCCATACAAAAAATTAACTCAAAATGGATTAAAGAACTAAATGTAAAAGCTAACACTATAAACGTCTTAGAGGAAAATATAAGGAAAAATCTTCATGACATTAGATTTGGCAATGATTTCCTGGATAAGACAACAAAAGCACACATAATTTAAAAAACAGATGAACTGACCTTTATCAAATTAAAAACTTTTGAACACCAAAGGATACTGTCAATAGAATGTTAAGGTAACCATTGGAAAGAGGTAAAATATCTGTTAAGGGTCAATATGCAGAATAGATAGATTGCCAAAAACTTAACAACCACAGCAACAACAACAACAAAAACCTGATTAAAAAACGATAAAGGACTTGGACAGACATTTCTACAAACATACACAAATGGTAATAAGCACATGAAAAGAGGTTCAATATCATTAGTCATTACTAATTTAAATTGATACTAATCAAAATAATAAGATATCACTTCACATCTATTGGAATGGCTATTATCAAATAAAAGCAGAAATAACAAATGCTAGAAGATTTAAAGGATACGAAGAAATTCTTTTTTTTTTTTTTTTTTTGGTTCTGGTGATTGAACCTAATACCACTGAACTATTTCTCCTGTCTTTTTTACTTTTGAGACAGGGTCTCAATAAGTTGCTGAGAGTCTTGCTAAATTTCTGAGACTGGCTTAGAACTTGCAAACCTCCTGCCTTAGCCTTCTGTGTTGCAGGCATACATCAAGGCACTCAACAAGGATTTGGAGAAATTAAAATCCTGTGCACTGCCGGAGGGAATGGAAAATGGTACAACTACTATGAAGAAAAAAACCTGGGTGGTCTCTAAAATATATATAAATATAAATAAAAATTTTCATATGACCCAGCAATTTTACTCCTAAATAAATACTCAAAGAAGTTGAAAACAGCATCTGGAATGAACACATGTACACAAATATCATTGTAGCATTATTCACAAGAGCCAAAAGGCAGAAACAACCCATGTGTTCATCAATAGCTGAATGGATACGATCCGTATGTATATGTACACACACACACACACACACACACACACACACCACACAAATATTATTCAGCCATAACAAGGAATGAGAGTCTGATACATGCTACAACATGATGAACCATAAAGACACTTTGTAAGTGAAATAAGCTAGACATAACTGGACAAATACCACATAATTCCATTTATATTTAGAATAGGCAAATGTATCAGGGTGGTGAGAGGGGATTAGGAAACTACTTTTTAATGAATACAGAGCTTCAGTTTGCAATGTATAAAGAGTCCCAGGGTCTGTGGGGAGAGGGAATAGACGTTACTATTTAATGGCTATAGTTTCTCCTGGGGATGGAAAAGTTGTGGAAATAGTACTATGAAGGCTGCAAGAAATTGTGAATATAAGCCATGCCACTGAACTGAACATATTAAAATGGTATTTTAAAAAAGTGAAAACTGAGGGGGGGGCTGCAATTGTGGCTCAGTGGTAGAGCGCTCACCTAGCATGTGTGAGATCCTGGGTTCGATCCTCAGCACCACATAAAAATAAATAAATAAAATGAAGGTATTGTGTCCATCTACAACTAAAAAAAAAATTAAGTGAAAACTAGAAGACAAATGAAACACTAAAATAAAACAGTATGGGAATAAATAAAATATAAATTTTTATGTATGCAAGTATGTATGTATTTATGGCAATGTTGGGGTCTGAAACCAGGGCCTTGCCCATACTAGGTAAGCATTCTACCACTGAGCCACAATATCAGTTTGTGCTTTTAATGAAATTGAATCTTTGTTTTACACAATTCACATTTTAAAAATAACTTCCAAAAATTTTTTTCAAACTTACATAATTTAGAATGGCAAGCTGTATTAGGAAGAATACATCAAATGCACTAACATTAAAAATTTTTATAGTTAATACCTACCAGGGCATTTTCTTTGACTTCAAGATTCTTGAGGGCCACATCTCCTAAAAAAAGAAAAAAAAAAAATTATTACAAAAATAAACTTAAAATGTTCAAAACTTTTTCATTTTAAAAGGTTAAGTATGTTTCATTCTTGAATATAATACTAGGGAAGAACAATCACAAAAAAAGTACATAAACAGAAAATAAAATCTACCTTTTTTTTTTTAACTAGCTTACCTTCATTCTTCTGCATGACCTAAGATGGTATGTTTAATCAAAACTTATTGAAATTTTTTTACCTCTGCAATTGTAGCCTAACATTAATGTATACAAATAATTTAATCAGAATAATACAAACAATATAAATCCACCAAAGTAGCATAATACAAGATCAATAAGCAAAAAGCAAGTTGTATTTATATGGGCAATGAACAGTCTGGAAAGAAATTATAAAAATGTAAAATCAGTGAGCACACAGATATTTAAATATAAAAATTTTCAAATTCAAATACAAAATGAAAAAAATTTAAATTAACATAATAGAACTGCCAGATGATTATTATTTTTCCAGAGGGGAAAAAAAGGAGAGATAACATTACATACATATTATATGTAATATGATATAGTTTGAGTAATAATAGCTGCGAAATTTCCAAAATTAATGATACAAACACCATAGATCCAGGAAGCTCAGAGAACACCAAGTTCTGACCTCTCTGGGGACTACTGAAAGGAATGGTTTCTGTATTAGATGACTCAGAGCTCAGGAAAAGAAATTATAGTTTGGATATCAGGTTAAAAGCCAAGAAAACCAGTGGTAGACACCATAACTCATAAGAGCTACACCGAACTATAGCCTGTAAAACTGAGATCCAAGAGATTAAGTATAAATAAATACAAAAAGAATACATATGGCACAAAGAAGTAGGTGAGGTATATTTAAAAATTTAAGTCATATTAAAAGCAGTTGTAACCTGGTATAGTGGTAATCCCAGCAACTCAGGAGGTTGCAGCAAGAGAATCACAAGTTTGAACCCAGCTTCAGCAACTTGGCAAGACCCCTGGCTGCTTGCAGGCAAGCAAGCAGCTGCATATCTGGGGGAACTGAGGGGGAAAAAAAAAAAACAAACACAAACATAAGCCAAGGGATAATGCATGCCAAAAAGAAGGCTGAGAAAACCTTAGGCCTTCATTCAGGGCTTCCTCATGAAGGTCTCTTAAGTACAGAGCCAGTCTGCAGACTAAGAGGCAGCTCTCTTTTCAAATACCCAATTTTTAAGAAAAGATAAATAATACATACAAAGATGCATACAAAGAAACACAAAAACATGGTCCATTCTAAGGTGAAAAAACTTCAAGAAACCAACATTAAAGAAACAGGCTCAGGATTTACTAGAAAAATGACTTTAAAACAACTTTCAATTATGATCAAAGAACTGAAGAAACACAGGATACAGAACTTAAGGAAATCTGGGAAACTATAAACAAAGAATATCTACAGAGTTAGAAATATTTAAAAAAAAGAACCAAATATAAATTCTAGAGCTGAAAAGTATAATAATCAGATGGAAAAATTTGCTACAGAAATATTAATAGTAGATTTAAACAGGCAGAAGAAACAATCACTGTCTTGAAGATCAGTCATCTGAAATTGTAGAGGAGCAAAAAAGAAGAAAAGTAAATAGAGCCTAAGGACTAACAGGACACTATCAAATGGATCATTTTATGTGTCATGGAAGTCTCAGAGATGAGAGAGAAAGAGCAGAGAGCTCTTTGAAGAAATAACATACAAAAACTTCCCACATTTAAGGAAGACATGAATATACAAATCCAAGAATCTCAAGAAATTCCAGATAGGATAAACCTAAAGATTATTAAACTTCTCAGCAGAAACTTTGCAATCAAAAGTCAATGAGATAACATATTTAAAATACTGGGAAACAATTTTAACAAAGATTATATCCACTTAAACTCTTTCAAAAATAAAAGAGAAATTAATATATTCCCAGATAAACAAAAGCTGAGCAAGTTGATTTCCATTAAACCTACCCTATAAAAAATTCTAAAGGAAATCCTTCAAGTTGAAAAGAAAGGATACCAGATAATAAACAAACATCACATGAAAAGCATAAATTTCTCCAGGAAAGTCAAACAAGGACAAATATAAGATCCAGCAGTCTTATAATGTTGATCTTCATCTCCACTTTATATTATGTTTTATATGACAAAAGTACAAAAAAATAATTATAAGTCTATGTTAATGAGTATACGACATAAGATGTAATTTGTCTCACTAATCAAAATATAGATCAAGGGGGGATGCACCTGTAAAGTTGTTTTTGTACACAATTCAAGTTAAATTGGTACTTATTTAAAATACAGTGTTATAACATCAGGATATGCAATTACCATGGTTACCACAAAGAAAATATCTATAGAATATACACAAAAAAAAGGGGGAGGATAAAAACATGTCCCTACAAAAAAAAAAAATCAACTGAACACAAAAAAGCCATAAGGTGCAAATGAGAGACAAAAATAAACTTTCAAGCGTATAGAAAGTGAGTACCAAAAAAGACAATACTAAGTCCTTTCTTATCTGTAATTACTTTAAATATAAATGTTTAACTCCCTAACCAAAAATAAATAAATAAATAATGGCAGAATGGATTAAAACAAAATAGGATCCAATAATATGCTAAGAACACACATAGGTTAAAAGCAAAAAGATAGGAAAAGAAATCTCAAAAGAGCAGGGATATCTATGCTAGATATAATCAGACATATAAACTTTAATTCAAAACCTCTTAACTGAGAAACAAAGGAAAAGATATAATGATAAACGGGGTACTTAACAAAGAAGACATAACTATGACAAACATATATGCAACAAATAAACATGAAATCGCCAAAATGTGCCAAAGGCTCCTGTATTGAAAGCTAGGTCCCCAGCAGGTGGTGCTATTAGGAGATGGTAAAAACTTTAGACTTATACAGCCTAATAGGAAGAGATGAGTCACTGGGGGTGTGCCTTTGAAATGTATTATTTCTGTCCCTAGACTGACTCATTCTTTCCCTCTCTCTCTCCCCCTTCCTTTCTTTCTCTCTCCTTCCTAGCTGAGGTGAGCCGCTTTCCTTTGCCCTGATGTTTCTGCCTCACCTTAGGCCCAAAACAACAGAGCCAGTCAACTATGAGCAAAAACTATGAGCCAAAATACACATCTTCCTTAACCTGGTTTTCTCATGTATTTCATCACAGCAACAGAAAACTAAACACACATATGAAACAAACATTGACAGAACTGAGGGGCAAAAAGCACTGCAATAATAATAGGAGACTACCATAGAATACAAAAAACAGACAAATTAATAAAGAGAAAACCCAAACAACACTATTGGGCAATTGGAACAAACAAACCTACACATAACACTCCACCCAAAAAACAAACAAATACATATTTTTTCCTCATTTTTTTGTACACAATTCAAGTTAAAATGAACATGGAGCATTCTCCAGGATAGAATATATGTAAGGTCACAAAACAAGTGTCAAAAAATTTCAGAAGATTTAAATAACACAGACATCTTTTCTGAGAACAATGGAATTGACCTAGGAATAAACAGAAGAAAACAGAACAATCCACAGATAAATAAAAATTAAACAAGCAATGGGTCAAAGAAAAAAAAAAATCACCAGAGAAATTAAAATATACCTTGAGAAAAATGAAAGCAATATACCATAATTAATGGAAAACAGTGAAAGAAGTGTTCGGAGAGAAATTTATATATGTAAATGCTTATATTAAAAAAGAAAAGCTGAGCTTGGTGGTGAAGTCAAGGAAGGGGGATTGCAAAATTTGAGGTCAGCTGGGGCAACTTGGTGAGACCCTGTCTCAAAATAAAATAAAATAGGAGGGATGGGGGTAGGACTCAGTGACAGAGCACTAACTCAGTTATGGGCAAGGCCCTGGGTTCAATCCCCAATACCAAGAAAAAAAGACCTAAAAAGTATTCCAAATTAATAACCTAAATTTATACCTTAAAAAAGAGAAAAAAAGGAAAAAGAAAAATAACCTAAACCTAGCAGAAAATAATAAATATTAAGGCAGAAATAAGCACAAAAGACTAAAAAGAAATAGAGAAAAATCAACAAAACCGATAAGCCTTTAACCAGATTGACTATCAAAATATTTTTAAAGTCAAAGAGCTAAAATTAGAAATGAAAGAAATACCACTACCAATTTTATACAAATAAGGATTTTAACAAAGTACTCTGAACAATGATACACCAGCAAATGATGACCTAGATGATATGAATAAAATTCCTAGAAACACAAAATAAACTGAGAATGAATCATGATAAAATAGTTCATCAGAACAGACCTACAAGAATTAAGAAGATTAAATAAATAATCAAAACCTCCCTCAAAACAACACAAGACAAGGACCAGATGTTTTGTTGGTAGATTCTAGAAAATTAAGAATTAAATTAGAATTAACACCAATCCCTCTCAAATTTTTCCAAAAAAAAATTTAAAAGAAAGGAATACCTTTGAAATTGTCTATGAAGCCAGCATTACCCAAAATTGTCTATGAAGCCAAATAAAGACAGTATAAGAAAAGGAAACTATGGGGGCTGAGATTGTGGTTCAGCGGTAGAGTGCTCACCTAGCACTTATTGGGTTCAATCCTCAGCACCATTTAAAAATAAAATAAAGATACTGCGTCTAACTACAACTCAAAAAAAATATATAAAAAAAGAAAAGGAAACTATAGAACAATATCCCTGATGAATACTGATGTGAAATCTTTAACAAAATACTAGTAAATAAAATTCAATAGCATGTAAAAGGATATAATATGATCCAGGAGGATTTATTCCCAGAATGCAAGAATGATCCAACATATACAAATCAATATAATACACCACTTTTAATGAAATAAAGAAACAATGCATGATCTCAATTAATGCAGAAAAGGATCTGAAATAATTCAGCATACTTTCATGTTAAAAAAAAAAACATCCAACAAAATAGAAATAAGAGGAAACTAGCTCAAAATA